GAGGGTTTGGAAGAGTGGCTTGCTGGTTTTTCTTGGGTTCTTTTTTCTGTTTGTGATTCGGCCTTCTTTTGTGTGTGCCTGTGATGCAGCTTTATATATATACGTCTTTTTTTTTTTAACCCCCGGTGGTTTTTAGCACTTTCTGCGAAGACCGGGGAAGGGAAGGGAGAAGCATTATAAGATAGAAGTCTTTCAACTTGGCTTCCATCCCATCCCGGGAACAGGAGCCGTCAACCTGACAGGGAGAGGAGGGAATGAGCTTGTCAGGACGTTTCCTTTGCTTTCCAGAGAAATTTCATTTTAACTCCTGAGTAATTATTTCTCCTATTCTTAAAGTAAAGGGAAAGGATGGGTGCAAAAATCGCGTTTCAGGAAATTTTAAGCTATTCTTGGAACAAGCCTCACCTTGCTTTCCTTTTGTAGGGCAAGCCGGCTGTCCCCGAGCGCCTCGGTGGTCAGGCTGAGGGGTTCCTACCTCACACTGTGCACATTGCACGGCAAGATAGAAAGCCTTGTTTATATTAAACAGCTTATTTATGTATCAATATTAGTTGGAAGGACCAGGCGCTGAGCCTCTGTGACATGTGACTCTGTTCATTGAAGACGGGACAGAGAAAGAAAAAAGAAAGAGGAAACAGTTCAGATTACTGCACATGTGAGTAAAAGCAAAAAACAAAAAAAAGGCGTGATTCATAATGGCATTTTTGCACAGTATTAGGAATTGTAAAGTCCACAGAAGATGTTACTTGCACAAAAAGAAATTAAATATTTTTAATGGGGTGGGGGCAGATCTTAAAAACAAATAAAATTCAGATTCTACTTCTGATGTCTATTATGTTATTGAGCTAATGATTTATTGGAAAAATACCTTTTTATACGCTTTTATCATGGTACTGTAACTGTATCCATATTATAAATATAATTATCTTAAGGATTTTTTATTATTTTTTTATGTCCAAGGGCCCATGTGAATCTGCTGGTAAAATTTAGCACTTGTGTGTAAATACTATTTCCTCTGTGTGTTTTACCAAGTATTTATACTCTGGTGCAACTAACTACTATGTGAGTAATTGGTCCATGTGCAATAAATACCCATGAAGCACAAAAAAGATTACATACTGTGTGTCTGTAAGGGGTCAGTGATAATGGGAAAGACAGTTTGTTTTGTTCAAAATATAGGCTGGATTTCCCATAGAGCTCTTTTAATAGCTTTTCATGACTCAATAGCATAGCAAAATGCCTCTAGACCAAATAAGGCATGCACCTACTGAGAGCCGCAGACTTGCCCTAAATTTTCACAGCCGGATTCAGAGTATTCTAGAATACTTGTAGGTGTTTTCAAGATCCCATCTGCCGCACTTGATTTAAGAAGTAACATTTGGGATTGTGTATCTTCTTAAAAAAAAAAAAGTGATTGAGCCAGGTAACTCAGCTGCAACTTTGCACAGAAACGCAGGAAAGAAGACCCACTCGTAGAACCATCATTGCCTACTCGGAATTCGGTAAGTGGCATCCACGGCTGGTTGTTTTCCAATAGAAAGTCACAGCCTGCATATGATCAGCGTGTGCAGATTTCCCCAGTGGCTGTCGAGAATGCAAAATGCTTTTGTGGTTCAGCACAAATTTATAAAAGAGCATTTAAGTAAATTTGTTTTTTCTTGTGTCACGAAATAGACCGTTTCAGCAGACGTTCTGGGTGGGCAGGTAACAGGTAAAAGTAAATGAAGTTTTAAAATTTTCTAACAAATTATGACACCCCCAATGGAGAAGATGGCTTTTATAAAATTATTTCCTAAAGGAAAGTATAGTAAAATTCCAACCTGGGATTAATACTACATTCTCCAAAATAATTTTAACTTTTTCTCTTTGTATTTTTAAACAAACTTTTCATTTCATGATCGTACAAGAAACCAAAGTGAAGAGTATAAAGTTTCGGTTCATAAGGAAATTTAACATGAACAAATTATTCTCTATTAAGGAAAGCCAGGACTGATTCTCTGTTTTTTTGTTATTATTTTATTTATTTATTATTATTATTTTTTTTGCAGTGGGATATTCTAAAGACCAGGAGAGTCTGCTGAGAAAAGTTAATGTTGTAGACGTTTTAGTTTCAGAGACAAGCAGAAGTTTGCATGAATCCTCAGTTTCAACTAAAGTCACTCTGAAGTTTAACCCGTTTCTTCAGCAAAAAAAAGAAAAAAGAAAAGGTGGAGGAAGGGGCAAGAGAATGCCAAAGTTATTTTAAAATACAGAGATTAATACTTAAGCTTATTTTGGAGAATGTAAAATCAATTTGGGATGAAATCTCACTATACTTTCCCCTGGGAACAGATACCGACCATTTCTGTCCTCCCTGCCCCCACTTTGAGTATGTAAGATGCATTTTGCCAGGAGTTTTGTTCCTCTTTATTTTAAATTCTACTAGAAAATTATAATGTCTACAGTTTCATCTGAAGAACACTTAAGTACCTGGTTAATGCTTCACTTGCCGATTTTGTCTAGCTACGCCTTCACATTTAAATAAAAAGAAATTTTCCCAGCCCCAGACTTACATATGGACCCATCAAACTTTAGGTCTTAAAATCATGAAAGTCCTATAAACTTTAATAACAAATATATATAATTTCACTGCTTAGTAGACAGGTCTGAACTCTTTGGTGAATTAAAGAAAACCACTATCATCTTGGGACGAGTTTATATGAATTTGTATGGAATAGAAAAAAGATTTTTCTGTGATTCCTTGAGTTCTCTAAGTGAGGATTACAGGGATTCAGAAACAGACCACGTCAGTGATACCAACAACCCAAGAAAACTTTTTGTTGTTTTTGAAGAAGAGAGACATTGATTTATAATAGAAATGTGGGAACGTGGGCTGCCAATCCCGATAGCTCCGGCAGTGGGAGGGGAAAACTGCCCATCCTGTTTAATCTGGCGAGATAACGCACAGCAGAAGTGACAGGAGGAAGGCAGTGAATATGAAGAAATTCAGCCGTATCCCGAGGGTCTGTGTGTAACAAATACCAAAGGCATAAACCTTAAAATTAAAACAGTGGACACATGATCAAGATTCACTGATTTGCTGCATCTGAAATAATGTTTAGGCTGCACACTGTAAAGTTCTCTGTGTAACAAGACATTCCAGCATCTATAAATTCTCCCTCCAGCATAGAAACACATAATTAGTATCGCAGATAGCCTCATCCTTTGGTGAACTTGCCAATATGAAACTTTGCACATAGAGCTTATTTTTTGGTTCATGCTTTCTTTGGAACTGGAATTATTAATAACTTCTAAGTGGCTATTGTGAAACCTTTCCTTGTTAAGCACATTTTCCTAGATTATTTTAATTTCACATTTTGTTGAACGTGCTGACTTCCTCTGGCGATATGTAAAATTGCCAGGCGGAAATTCTGCAGTCAAACTCTCAGGATGATATTAGCATACAAGTTTTCAGCAAGAGCTTCTAAGCAAGGGTCTAAAGGAAAATTATTAAGTTTTGCTGCCATTTGTGAAAGGCTTAAAAAAAATGTTTTTAAACAAAGTTGGACCCATTAGTTCTTTGGAAGGAAAAAAAATTAAAACAGCAGTAATTCAAATTAAACACGTTGGCACAGATAATTTAGTTTTATTTGTACATTTCTGGCATAATGTGCTGAGAAATACCAATTCTTTTGACTCCCTGCCAATTTGCTACTAATCAAAATGGAGAAGATATGCACTGTTTGGATTATACCTAAAAATAGTTGTGCTGCAGTCACATTAGCAAATGGAATTAAATTAATTTCTCTTTCTTCCCCTTCACACACACCCTCCACATTACTTAAATTTCCATCTAGACTATTGCTTCTGAGTCTCCTAATTTGTGATTCAGTGTTTCCCAAATGGCACTGCTACATTGCAACCATTTTTAAACAAACTTCATCACCAACTTTCTGAGAAATACGTCTCCTGAAATTCCAACTTTTATCCTGCTCTCATTTAAAGAGTCTCTACAAAATAGTCCATATAATGTAATCAAAGAAGTGTTAATACTATAAATAGATACTCTGTGGATTAATTTACCTCCTCAATAGTCTTTTTACCCTTTGGTGGGAAGAGGGAGATAGATTCTGAATCAGTAAGATTTGGTCTTTTGACGGAGCAGTTTATAGGCTTCCAAATCCAATTGCTCTAATGACAGACAGGAAAACACCAGCCCCGAGGAGAACCTTACACTGTGCTGACAATATTAGAGCACAATCTTTGCAGTGAAGAGACCAGCACCCAAGAAAGCAAGGGAAGTATCTGTCAACACCCTTTAAACCTTTGCCTTCATTTGCATATTGCCTTCACTCCGAAGGCATCTCCATTTTCTATACCTGAAGCCAGTTCTCATCTTGGACTTACCATCTGTCCCAGCCCTTCTCTTAAGCACTTCTTCATTTCTCCTTGCATGAACTAGAAACATCTAGAACATGTAGTTCTAGATAAATTGTCTTAATAGCAGCATTAACTTCTCATGAACAGTTTCCTAAAACTCAGATTTTCAACATCTCTCAATGCTTACACTTCCTGTCTTCTTCTCTCTCCATGTTCCCTGGCTCATAGCTGTTAAATAGTATCAGCAAGATCACACTGTTTTATTCCTATTTATGATACAAAGCTGACCTATGATGCATTTTAAATATCTTAAGCTTGGATTTACTTCTTCCTGAGAATTTCAGCATTGCTCATAATTATGAGTAGAAAAAAAATGTTAAACCACTGTTGGTACTTTTCCTATAAAAAGTCCTCATTTTGAGTTTAATATCTGGGGCGTGGGGCTTTCTTAACAGCCTTTATTTTTGTTTTTTCTTCATTTTTCAGTTCTTAACTGTATGACCTTGTCAGTTTTTCAGCATCCCAACCACGAAGGCACAATGAACATTAGCTGTTCTGCCTGCAAGTATTTGTAAATTCATTTTCCTCATCATTACCAGGCTAACTGATTTGTGGGAATTGTGGGTCAAGTTCTACTCTAGGAGAACAGAAAACTTGTTCAAGAAGATGGTCCAAAGACTTGAGCAGCTCTGGCTCCTCTGCGTTGGCTGCTGTGCCCAGTGACCTTGGGGAAGTCAGCTGGTCTCCCTCTTAATGCAGGTTCAGTTCCCACAAAGCCCCCTCTGTAGCCTTTGTTTGTAAAATCCCTTTGAGATGCTCTGATAAGAGGCACTTAGAGCTTTGCAAAGTCTATCATTTCAAATACTTCCTCCTGAACTTCTTTTCCCTTTCCCTGCAACTCCACCCACAAAAATCCGTTGTTTTTTATTTAAGTGAAAAGAACAACCAAGAATGGCAAGAATACATATAATACCATGCATCCCAACAAACAGTCCTTCACATATTATTATGCTTAAAATTCCGCAAAAACCACAACCGAATAAAATAATCTTCTTCCCAAACATCGGATTAAAAAACCTGTTTGCTCTGTGCTAAGCAAAAGCGGTTGTTTAATTTCTGAACCCACAGCCACTTTGAG